AGGGACTCCCCAAGAATATCCCAACCTGGGGTGAGATGCCAACAATCAGAGACGAGGGCGGGAAGGAAGGGGCGTGGGGACCTACTCACCATTGCCCTGACCGTCACCCTTTGGTTGAGGGGCCATCCCTAGGTGCAGCTGGGATCCGGGTGCGAGTTACGAGTGGGTGGTGTGGAGTGGCGGTGGGATGACCCTACAGGAAAGGGCTGGCCTTGGGTGGGGAGGGGGTGCACCCCAGCTCAGCCAAGAGGGGCCCCACCCAGCCAGGAGGGGGTTCCGGGAGAGACAGGGCTGTGGCTGGCCCCGAATAGGGTGGGATGGAGTTCCCCTGTGGGCCTTGGGCCAGAGCCCAGAATAGAATGAGATGGGGGAACCCTGGTGGGGGAGGGCGGTGAGAAACAGGGGTATAGCCTGATCCAATCAGGCCTGTGAAAGCAAGGAGGAGGGGAGGGGGTGAGGCTTGCTGGGCTACTCAGATTGGGCAGGGAAAACCGAGGGCCTGGGGCACATCCTGGGGCCCCCTGGAAACTCAGGCAGGCAGTGGGCCCCATGGGAGTGGAGTCAGGGTCCCGCTCCCCCTGGCTCCGTCGGGCTGCACCTGCCAGAGGTGGATACGGAAATACCGCTAAACTTGACCGGGGCACTTAGACAGGGGGCCCTCCTACCACAGCTCGCCCTCAATCAGGCATCACCCACCCCCTCCCGTAGGGCCTCCCCCAAATAAGGCTTGGGTGGGGCTCTCCTATCCCTTTAATGTATGCTTCAGAAATAGGGTCTGGGGGAGGGAGAGAATTTGGTAAATGACTCAAGCCGGTCTCCCCGTTATTAAACGGGTGACCCAACTTTTCAAAGGGAGACAAAAGGACTCCTGAAAGGGGGTCACTCTCTAGGGGATGCCAATTCTAAGGGGGCTGTATTAGGGAGGGTTGGACCAAAGGGGACTCTTCTCAGGAGCCCAAGGTAATCCCTTTCCCCCCTGGGAAGGCTCACTTTGGGGTGGCTCATATCTCCCAGGAGCCCAGGGGGCTGTGGAAAAGAAAAGATCTAAGGGTTCCAAGGCCAGAGGAGACATAGTCCGGAGCGAGAGTGCCTCCACTCTCCCAGAAACCAGGGGACGGTGCAAACTCAACCCGCTCCACTGCTGTGGGGACCCCAGTCTCTCTCGCAACCAGGCGGGGAAGCGGCCCGGAGCTGCAGGGAATCGGGGCTCACCGCCCCAAGACGCACCTGGCTGGAGGGGCGGGGCAGTCAGAGACTTCGGGGGGGACCCCACCGCCCCACCAAGTCCCCGAGGGTGGCGGGCACGGGCGGGGATGAAACTGCTCCAGCGCAGGCCCCGATCGTCCTTGGCTTGCACCCGTGCACACCCTCCACCCGGATCAGGGGGGTCCCTATCAAGAATCCCTCCCCTCTAATTTCCATCAACCTATGGCCTGGGACCCCGGTACCTTGCGCGCTGCAGCCCAAGCGCCATGGCTCCCCAGTCACCTCCGTTGAGCCCTTGGAGGCCCGGGGGGGGGGCCCCCTCCCCTGGCCCTGCGAGCCCCTTCCCCAGCTCCGCCCCTTGCCGCGTAACTGGCTGAGCCGCTGGCAGCCTGCAGCGCTGGTTGGACAGCGGTTCGGTCACTCTCGAAAAGGAGGCGGGACCAGAGGCAAAAGCTTGCCAGGCTAAGAGGGGTGTGTGAGTTGGGGGGTGGGGTAGCGTAAAACACACACACACACACACACACACACACACACACACACACACACACACACAGCCACGCCCCGCGCCGAGGACTTCCTCTGTAGTGTCGCCAGCCTCCCCCCACTGCATTTCCAACGCTCTCGAAGGCGCGCAGGTCACTTTGTTCCTTACACCCGAGCCCCCCCATCCTCTGAGCGCCCCGCCCATTTTTCTCCTCCACTCCCCCAACTCCAGTCCCACCCTCTCCAGTCTCCCCAGCCTGTCCCCTCGCCCAGCCTCCCCCTTTGCGGAGCTCTGCCTCTACCCTCTCTGCGGCATCCCTCATCCCCCTCTTCCATGCCCCAACTCCTAATCCCACCCTGCTTCTACAGCCCTGCCCCTCCGTAACCCACCCTTCCCCCTCAGTCCCCAGCCCCTCCCTCCGGCGCTCTGGGGCCCAGGGCGCCCCAGCCTCACCTTCTTCTTCGCCTCCCTCCACCCTGACCTCTTTGTCTCTCTAACTCCCCTTTCAGGTTCCCATTTGAAGACTGCCCCAGCGCATGTCAAGCAAATATGTGAAATGCAATCCCGCCCTCTTCCTACCAAACCCAAACCCGACCTAACTGCCATCGAGTCCATGCTGACTCATAGTGACCCTACAGGACAGGGTGGAACTGCCCCATGTGGGTTTCCGAGACGGAAACTCTTTCTCGGGGTAGAAAGCCTCGTCTTTCTCCCTCCCAGTGGTCCAGTGGTTTTGAACGGCTGACCTTGCCGATAGCAGCCCAAAGCATAAACCACGACGAGGTACAGGGTCACCAGAGTCCCTGGATAGGGCAAACGGTTAAAATCCTCTGTGGGCTGTTGGAGTCCCGTCCAGGGGTGCCTGGGAAGAAAGGACCGGCGATCTACTGCGTCGAAAGCAGGCATTACAATCCGATGGAGCACAGGTCTGCGGTGACGCACAAGGGGTTCGCTGTGCGTCCGAGGGCGCTCTACAGCACCTTTAGAACCAACAAACAAATGATCAGCAAGGAGAGATTGGAAGCATTACAGTGGGAGGAGGCTATAAACCTTTGTGTGTAGTGGGGGAGAGTGGGCTGGCTTGCATGCTAATCCTCAGCGTTACGGGTGTGTGGGGTGTGTGTGGGGGAACTATTGTTCGGTGCGGCTTTTAGTTCCAGACTCTCAGCCACAACAGAACGCCACTCCATCCTGCGCCATCCTCACAATTGTTACGTTTGGGCTCATTGTTAGCAGGGACAAGGGTTAAAAACCCAAACCCAACGCCCGCCCCCCCCTCCTGCCATGGAGTCTATAGGACTCATCACTACCCTATAGAAACCTATAACTACCAAGGCCGTGCATCTTTAAGGGACCCGAAAGCCTCATCTTTCAAAACTGCACTGGTGGGTTTGAATTCCTGCCCCAGCTCTGGGGGACGGGATAGAGGTGTCAGACCTAGCCAATCCCTTTAAATTCGTTTCCCTGGCGATTGGCTCAGGGAAGACATGTGACCTGGAGTGAGTCCAATGAGAACCAACTCTGAGATTTGCTACGCCCCTCTGTAAGCGGAGTCCCTCGTGTCCACTGCAGCGTTCTGATGCCAGTCTGCCCTTGGGTGCCTGGACCCGCCATCCCTCAACTCCTAACGGAATCATTGCGCTTACACATGCACCTGTATGGGTCCTGGTGGCTGTTGCTGATTTGTGGTTAAATAGGATTGTATTCATGAATTTATTGTTTCCCTTGAATTCGTTTGAGTTGATTTCAGCTTTTTGTACCCACTCTTGATAAGCAGAGACAGTTAGCACCAGAGCCTCAGGGTGGAAGCCTGTGGGGCTCCAGATAAGGAGAGGCCTGAGTGAGAGGGGGCCCCTGGGGGAACCTTGGGAGTGAGAATGACGTGACTTGGACTTGCTGGCTTCTGACAGCAGGAAAGACCGATCACCAGAAAAGGAAATCATGTTGGCAAAGTAAAGGGCCAGCAAGCAAGGAGGGAAGTCATCACCGAAATGGGGTTCCGCAAGAGATACAATAATGTTGTTGCTGTTAGGTGCCAACGAGTCAGGTCCAGCCCTCGGAGATCCTAGGCACAACAGAAGGAAACACTCTTGGGTCCTGAGCCATCCTCCGAAGTGTTCCTCTGCCTAGCCCATGGTTGCGGCCACTGTGTTTATCCATCTCATCTGAGGGCCTTCCTATTTTTCGCTGCCTCTCCACGTTACCAAGCATGCTGTCCTTCTCCAGGGACCGGTCTCTCTTGACAAGATGTCCAAAGTCTGAAACAACAGACTCAAACAGACGGTGGCAGTTACATAATCTCCTGTCAACTTGAGGGAAGGGGTGGGGTCTAAGCCTGTCCACGACCTTCTCCTGAGGATTCTGGGAACTCTTGTCTTCTTCCCTGGAGACGGGACACCCACTCCTTGAGAGACATTCCTGTTGATAAGCCACATAGAGCTACACTGATGGAGCCAGAGCCCTGGAGCTGGAGGAGCTACATGGAGACCCACGCCAGTGCTGAGATGCTTACAATGCCACTGGATCCACAAGATTTTCCATCCACGGGCCTGTGATCTTTCTGCATTTGGTGTCATTGCATGTGTTGCATGAGTCTGAAGAGGCCTTTATAGATTGGCATCAGACATATGGGCTAATATTGGACTTATGGACTTGATCTGGACTGGGTTGGGGTGTTCATATACAGTTACTCTTTGATATGACGCTCTCATACACATATGAGTGTCTCTGGATTTGTTTCTCTAGTCCACCTGGACTCACACACAGACCAAGGATCATGTAGAGGGTGCAGGACCGGGCAATGTTTTGTTCTGTCTCCCAGAGTAGAAGCTGGCTTGTTGGTAACCACCACCACCACTACCACCAATGACTTGAGCAGTTGTCTAGGGAGCCATCGTCAGTCTCTCCACATCTGGAGGAAAGACGAGTGATGAAGACCGAAAGACGTATAGCAACAACTAGGCCCATGGACGGACTGACCATGCAAACATTACGCCCCACCGTTCTGAGACCAGGAGCTCTAGATGGTGCTCGGCTCCCATGGCTACTGCTCTGAAATGGATCACTTTAGAAGGTCCTGGGTAGCACGGGAGAGCAACGTGGAACTGAACTGGACATCACAAAAGAGACCGATCTTACTGGTCAGATTCAGGTGAGACACCCCTACCCCAGGACCGTGGCCTGCAGTCACCCTTCAGGTCTGGGACTGAAGGCACCGCCTGTTAGAATAACCAACCATTTAGAATCAAAAGGGCAGCATGTACCCAGACAAAGCCTTTGCAGAGCATCAGGAAAGGAAATGGAAAACTTGAAACAGGAAATAGCTTTGAAGTAGGAGACACAGGTGAAGGGAGAAGGAGCGATGGGAGGGGGAGAGAACAGCAGTGGACCAGTTGGAACAAACTGAGGAAGAGTGGTTGAAGGTAACACAGATATCTGCTCTGTATACTTCTTCCCCTACCACAATAAAAGCGGTTCCTTTTGTCAACAAACAAACAATACAATAACAATGACTAACGGCATTGAGCCTCTTGAGGTGAGTGACCATTTGTAGGTCATCTTTGCAGAAATGTCTGCGTCATTTTTTATTCAACGCTCATGCTTGTTTAGCAAGTGCTTGTTTACTTCTACGGGAGCCCTGGTGGCCTAGTGGTTCCTCGTTGGGCTGCTTTCCACCAGGTCAGCAGTTCAAAACCACCAGCCACACGCGAGGGCGAGAGATGAGGCTTTTCGCCCCCGTGATGAGTGACAGTCTCTCAAACCCACGGGCGCAGTTCTACCCTGTCCTGTGGGGGCCGCTGTGGGTCGGCATTGGCTGGCCGGCAGTGAGTTGGCAGCTTTGGACTTTCTTTCTGTCTGATTTCTTCACCCGGTGATGTTAAGCGCTACCCGGCCCTGCACCGCCCCCTAGAATCAGTTTTCCATTGGCTCACTGTGATCCATTGGCTCACTCATCGGTTGAGTTTTGGAAGTAGATTGCCAGGCCTTTCTTCCTAGCTCCACTGACAAACCCCTCTCAGTCCCCACCGACAAGCAGGTCGCGATTACTCCTGAGCTGCAGAGGCTGGGACTCGAACCCTCGTCTCCTGCGTGGGAGGTGAACATTCTACCGCCACCTCACCTCCCAACACTCCCCCCACCCTCCCCGTGGGCTCTTGAGAGATTGGGAAGAAATGCTGCACCGCCAATCCAGAACGGTGCATGCACCCCATGCCGGTCAGCCACCGTCTCTCTGGCTTGCGTCTCCAGAACCTTTGGCTCAGCCACAGCGGTGTTCCTGCCACTCACCCTCCTTCTGGGCTCCGGGACTAAGGGGCTCCTTGCCCCTCCATGGCTACCTCCCATCCTCTGATCTTATTTCCACTGCTCCCCCACCCACCTGGACTCTGACTCCTAATAAGGTGGGCTGAGAGAAGTCAGCTGCCACCTCTGGCACCCAGCCAGGGGCAGAAAATCCCTCCAACCCCAAGCCAAGGCCAACCTTTGAGTTCGGTGACGGAAATAAACAACACCAGTCCCCAAGCTTTGTGCCCTGGCGGCCTGCCAGGCACCGAGGGTACTCCACGCCCCTTTGCATTCCTGCTCCGGGACACCGATGGCCTAGTGGGTCACGTGGTGGGCTGCTAACCGCAGCATGTCAACACCAAGCAGTCGCCCCGTGGGGGAAAGATGAGGTTTTCCAAGCCTGGCGTGACGGACAGCCTTGTAAAGCCACAGGGGCAAATCTATTCTGCCCCACAAGGTCGTTGTGGGTCGATGTCGCTTGATGGCAGCGACAGAGGTTC